TCAAATGTTTTTGAATAAAATGAAATGCTATGAGTATATGTGAAGTTTTTCTATGTGAATACGTTCTATATAAGTAAATGGATATGTTGAATAATGATATGTAACATGAAATAAGTATGTGAATCACTATGAATGTATGTTAAATATGATTAAATGAAAATATTGATTAATGTTATGTGAAATAGAATACTATGAGTAATGGGTTGAATGTGAGTAAATAATAAAATGTGATAATGCTATGTGACAATGTTCTACGTGAAATGTTATGTAAATATGTGCTAACTGGATACGTTCTATGGAACATAAATGATAAGTGAAAAATGTTAAAATGAATGCTATGAATAAATTCTTTATATGAATAAAAGATAATTGATTAATAAATGTGAAAGTTCCCCATATGAATGTACACTATGAGAATAAGACACACTTTGAATAATGAAATGAGAAATAATTATATATTGTTAATGCCCAAGGTATATGTATGATAATTAAATGTATAGTTGGGATGCCAAGGTAGAGGATTCTATGTGGTCCTTCGGGACAAACCTATGTGGTCCTTCGGGATAAACCTATGTGGTCCTTCGGGAAAAATATTTGGCACATCAGTGCAATTATATGAGCAGTGGTGACTGCATTAGTGCACAAACTCAACATACTGAAATACCTAGAGTTCTTAGTAGTATTCATTGGGCTATTACAATAAAGTGATATAAATTGAATAATGTGTAAAAATATACTTTTTTTTTCATGAAATGTTTTCTACGAAATGAATAAACAATTATTTTTAAATGCTTTGTTATACTCGTATTTGCCTCACTAATCAACGACTTAGCCTGTGAGTGTTTTTGGACGTAGGTTTAAAGTTATGCGAGGAGTAAGTCGAGTAAGCAAAGGGCAGGACAATATACTTTTGAAGATTATCAAATCATAGAAATTTTAAAATGTATGTGATTGTGTTATAGAAATGTTGTTGGCATTTACCATAAACGTAAGGTGTAGATGCTCTGTTATGTATTTTAACTATGATTTATTAAGTTTTATTTTCCTTGTCGAGTTTTAATCGCATTTTAAAAAGAGTCAAAGAGTTTGGAAAGTCAATGACACCTCATATTCGTATCCGGATCGGATACGGGTCTTGGTGTTACAGTTATTGGTATCAAAGCTTAGGTTGATTCAAGTTTTCGAAATAAACCTGCCGGTCGACTGTCAAAAATTTTTGGTTTGTAAATGCCAATGTGATAACTCCGTAAAAAGGTCATATTTAGGGCCTTTTCACTTAAGTTATTGACTGTCTAAGAGCTCATATAAGATCATATAGATGCATTTAGGAGTATATAGTGCATGTGGTGGAAATATATTTTACTAATGCATTTTATTTTGTAAACGGTGATGCGTTATGGGGAAGGTGTTTTGTTTGATGATGTGCATGAATTGGAAGCAATGTTAAGCAAAAGGAAATTGTCGTGACATGATGATACTGCAGAGCAGAATGCAAATGTCAAATCGGATGGCATTTTGGAAGCGAAAATGATGAAAATGATATTTTTATCAGCCAACTATATTTGTCTTCACGTGCACTCAACTGCATTCACTTGGTAGGAGACATCTGCCACCTAAGTTAGCTGATTATATCGGGACCACACCCAGCTACAAACAACCCAGGAGGGGACCATGCCTAGTTTCCCTGGAGGGACCACTGCTGCATATGCCTCACCCTCACGTGAAAGAAGTCTGATCGCGGTATCCAGGGAATTTTAACACAAATTCCTAGGTTTATTTCCCCCTATAAGTAGGAGATGAAGCCACCATGAAAAGAAGACTTTTAGACACGCCACCTTAAGTTCCTTTTTCCATCAATCGTCTTTGTCGTGGTATTACTCCATTAACAAGCTAGATGGAGTGGTGAGCTAGGCGTATGAGATGAGCTAGCGAGCTGGGGCAATTCATGGTGGCCGATGGGAGCTCTGACAGTGTACGTCGAAGGCTTTTTCTCATTCCTTTGCTATTTTTTCTCTTTTATCTTATTTGGGTTGTATGGAACGGATTAGTTTCTTGCCTTGTTGCTTGGAACATTCGAACCCCACCATGAACTAGTCTTATTTGGTGGGAGTTCCTTATGGATATTTAAGTTTTACTTTAATGGATGGGTGTTTTTGTATGTTGTTGTTTGTTTTGTTTTTGAAGTTTAATGCCTTAAGGTTGTAGGAGCTATGAGAGTAGTCATTCCTTAGGAGATTACTTAGTGTTCAAGAAAATGGATAAGTAGTATGTCCTTAGTGTTCAAGAGAAACTAGGGAGGATCCACATAAGCAAGAGGTTCTAGGTAGTAATTAGGCCTAATCCATCCTTAGACATAAGGCTAGGATATCAATCGACTAAAACGATGAGTGCTTGATCGAGAGGTTAGATGTTAGTGTTGCCACTAAAAGGTATTCCCGTGACATATCATGTTATTTGGATCTATAGGATCCTTGCGCTTGCTAACGCCAATATGTTTGCAATGGCATCTTAAACCTGTCGAGTCCATTGATTAGAGATACCATAGGAAACCATTAGTAAACTCTGTCGGGCAAATAAGACATAGAAGTAAGACCATCCTAAGAAGTAGACTTAAGTTTCCTAAGTGACTCCTATCATTCATTCCCGTAGTATCTTGTTGTGTGAGGTGTCTAAAGTCCTGATAATCAAATCCAGTATTTACATTTTGTTTTGCCTTTACATTCTCATTTTATTACACTAAACACAATTTAATTTGTCAGGCCATTTCCATCCACTTTGACAAGATATCTCCATTTGCTACCATTTTACCATCATTCCATTTTCAATACATCCATTTCATTTTGCCACAACATTCTCACTTGTATATACAATCACTAACTATACTTAGCTAAAATAGTTAACTGCTTTGACTGAACTTATAAATTTCCTCTAATCCCTGTGGATACAATACTCACTCATCACTGTATTACTTGTTCAATTGTGTATACTTGTACATATTTCGCGACCATATTTAGTAGTCATAATTCGCGGACAAGTTTTTGGCGACGTTGCTAGGGATTGGCAACTGGAATTTAATTAGTTTTGCCATAGCATTTTTATTTTACATGTTTGTTTTTCTTTATATATATAGTTTTACTTTTTATTTTCCTTATCCTTTTCAAATTTTTCTTGGTGTATAACCAGAAGACACTCTGATGAGCCATTAGAACCAATTGAACTTGAGATTGAGAGGCTGTTTAGGAAAAGAAGATGTGTTCAACATTCAAACATGTATCAAATTACAAATCAAGCTATTGGTCATGAGGAAGATTCGAATGCCGAGGGAATTCCAAATGCTAGGTATACATCTAGACCTCGTGCCATTCGTGATCACTTAAATCCTATATTAGACGACTTAAATCCAGGAATTGTGGCACCCGAGATTCAGGCAGCCCATTTTAAGCTCAAACCTGTCATGTTCAATATGGTAAATTTCATAGGATAATTTGGTGGCATGTAAAATGAAGATGCCAGACAACATATTCATAACTTCTTGGAGGTGTACGATTATTTCCGTCAACAAGGAGTGCACGAAGATGTATTAAAGTTAAAGTTATTTCCATATTCTCTGCGTGACAGAGTAAGGGCATGGTTGAGTGGCGTTCCAGCGGGTTCGATGGAGTCTTGGACTGGTCTGTGCAAAAGTTTTTTGCTACCGTATAATCCTCCGAACATGAACACCCAACTGAGGAACAACATCGTTTATTTTCTTTAAGTTGATGACAAATCAATGTATGAATAATGGGATCAGTATAAAGGATTGCTTCGCAAATGTTCAAATCATGGTTTTCAAGATTGGACTCAAGTGGTAATGTTCTATAACGGAGTTAATGCGCCCACAAGGATGATGCTAGATGCCTCGAAAAATGGGACATTGCTCAATAAATAACCTGCAGAAGCATTCAACATTTTGGACAGGATTGCCAACAATGATTATCAATTTCCATTTACACGGCTTGGAATTGGGCGTAAATCACATGGAGCATTTGAGTTAGACACTAAGGATTCTGTGCCCGCCCAACTTGTTGTTATCACTAATATGTTGAAGAATTTGCAAAGACAAAGTGAGGTGAAAGAAGTGAAGGCAACCATTTCAACATGTTCATTATGCCATGGCAATCACCATGAGAGCGAGTGCCCGACCAATCAAGAATCATCAACTCTGTGGGAAACTACAATTGAGGCAACAAAAGCGAGGCAACAACAACCCCTATTATAACACATATAATCATGGATGGCGCCAACATCCAAACTTCTCATGGGGAAATCAAGGAACCAACAATACTAATAACCCGTTCGGTAGTAGAATTTCAATTACTCCAATGCTTTCAAATGAATATGACATAGCATAATTCTAACAAGGGAGGGCCATCTTTATCTAACACAAGTTCTTTGGAGGCCACAATGCAATAGTTTATAGTAACCACGAAGACCATACTGCAAGACCATACGACCTCCATAAAAAACCAATGAGCTTTGCTTCAAAGCCATAGTTCATCTCTGAAGGCGTTGGAGGGTCAGCTTGGTCAAATTGCCACGACATTAGAAGAACGTCAACCAGCTTGTCTATCGAGTGACACTGAAGTCACAAAACCTCATCGTAAGGAGCAATACATTGTACTCACTCTACGGAGTGGCACCTAAATCAATGTAGAAGACAAGTTTAGGGGAAGACCGAAGACTGATTTACCCCCTGTAACCGTGCAGGCTGAGCGTGAATTGCCAGAAGAAGCGCAAGTAGAAGAGGATGAGGATGAGGGTTCATCGAGTAAAGCAACTGAGGGAGCAAACAAAAATGCCAAGGCAAACGTTTTTCCCGCCCCTTCAGTTAAGGAAGTCAGACCCCACCTCCTTTCTCACAAAAACTAAAGAAGCATAATGATGACATTTAATTCAAGAACTTTGTTGACATCTTGAACCAACTTCACATCAATGTTCATTTTCTTGAAGCTATGGATTAAATGCCAACATATGATAAATTTCTCAAGGACATTGTTACCAACAAAAGAAAAGCTGAAAAGTACGAGACAATTACCACGACAAAAGAATATTGCTCTTCCTTAAGCAAGTTGCCACCAAAAATACAATATCCTGGCAATTTTATTATTCCATTTTCGATAGAAGAAAATTATGTTGAGAAGGAACTATGTGACCTTGGCTCAAGTGTGAACTTAATGCCTAAGTCAATCTTCTTGAACTTTGGAATAGGAAATACGAGACCCACCTCTGTTATCTTGCAATTAGCCAACCGTTTCCATGTTCATCTCGATGGACGAGTCAAGGATGTCATTGTAAAGGTGGACAAATTTGTGTTTCTAGTAGACTTTCTTATATTGGATTGCGAGGTTGATGCCACAACACCCATAATCTTGGGGAGACCCTTTCTAGCTACCAGACGTATTTTAATCGACTGCGAAAAAGGTGAGCTTACCATGAGAGTGGCTGACCAATGTGTCACTATTAATGTCTTTCATACTCTGAAGTACATGGACGAGGCTGAAGAATGCTAGATCATTTTCGAAGAGAATTCAATGATAGCAAGAGAAGCTGATAAATTTAACCATGACAATTTCATTCAGCTGGAAAAATATGAGAGGGTATTTGAAGAAGAAAACGTCGAAGAGCCTAATGACTTTTCTTTGAAGGAGTAGTAGGCTAGTTTTCTCATAGCTAGCCCAGATACACGTTTTGAACCTCTTGATTTCGATGTGTTTGTTCCTCCTAAGCCCTCATTACAACATGTACCTACCCTAGAGTTAAAGAATTTGCCACAACATCTTAAATATGCTTATTTGGGTAGTAATGAAACTTTACCTGCTATTATTTCCTCTGCCCTTACTCCTAATCAAGAATGTAGTTTAATAAGTGTTTTATCACAACATAAGAGAGTGTTAGGATGAACTATGGTGGATCTGAAGTGAATAAGTCCCCATCATTTGCATGCATAAAATCCTACTAGAAGAATACCATGACAAATCCATAGAACCACAAAAAAGATTAACCCAATCATGAATAAAGTCATGATGAAAGAAATTCTCAAATGGCTTGATGCTGGAGTGATTTACCCCATCTCTAATAGTTCTTGGGTGAGTCCCCGTCCAATGTGTGCCAAAGAAGGGAGGCACGATTGTGGTGAAAAGTGAGGACAATGAGCTGTTACCAACACAAACTGTCACTAGGAGGTAGATATGCATGGACTATCGCAAACTCAACAAGGCCACTAAGAAGGATCACTTTCCTTAGCCTTTCATCGATCAAATACTAGATCAACTGGATGGCAAGGTATATTACTGTTTCTTGGACGGATACTCGGGGTATAATCAAATTGCCATCGCACCAGAGGACCAAGAGAAGACTACGTTCACATGTCCCTATGGCACTTATGCCTTTCGAATGATGTCTTTTAGACTATGTAATTCCCCGACAACCTTTAAGAGTTGCATGCAAGCCATATTTTCTTACATGGTTGAGGATTATCTAGAAATCTTTATGGATGACTTCTCCGTTTATGGAGATGACTTTGAGAAATACCTCCACAATCTGGAAAAAGGTACTCAAGCTATGTAAAGAGGTCGATCTCGTACTGAATTGGGAAAAGTGTCACTTCATGGTGATCGAAGGCATTGTTTTAGGCATTAAGATCTGTCAAAAGGGCATTGAAGTGGACAAAGCCAAAATCAAGGTGATTAAGAAGCTACTGCCACCAACTTCTATCATGGGCATTAGGAGTTTCCTTGGACATGTTGGGTTTTATAGAAGATTCATCAAGGACTTCTCCACGATATCAAAGTCCTTATGCACCTCGCTTCAACAAAATCAGCCTTTTGTGTTCGATAAAAATTGTCATGGAACATTCACCGAGCTAAAACAAAGTCTTATCTCTACACCCATCGTGGATCCCCCATTTGGACGTCACCATTCGAACTGAAGTGTGATGCGAACTATTTTGTCGTGGGAGCTGTGCTTGGGCAACGCAGAGATAAAATTTTCCATGTCATATATTATGCTAGACGTACCTTGAATGAAGCACAACTAAACTATACTACCATTGAGAAGAAATTACTTGCCGTGGTATTTGCATTTGATAAGTTTAGGCCATACTTGATAGGCACCAAAGTCATTGTTCACACTGATCACTCAGCTATAAAATACTTAGTGAACAAGAAAGATACTAAGCCTACACTCATTAGGTGGATATTACTACTGTAGGAATTTGACTTAGAAGTAATAGATAGGAAAGGTACTGAAAACCAGGTTGCAAATCATTTATATAGGCTATAAAACAATTCTGAATGCCATGACATTTTTAGATATTCAAGAAGAATTCCCTGTTGAGAAAATTTTTTATGCCACAATAATTTAGTGGTACCCTAACATCGTCAATTTTTTTTGTTAATGGTGTTTTGCCTTATGAATTTAACAACCAGGGCAAGAAGAAGTTCAAGCATAATGCCAAGTTATACTTTTAGGACGAGCCATACTTATTCAAACAGTGAACCGATCAAATAATTTGACGTTGTGTCCCTGAGGAGGAGCAAAGAGACATTCTATACCATTGCCACACAGCCCCTTGTGAAGGACATTTTGGAGGTACGAGGATTGTTTCTAAGGTCCTCCGATCAGGCTCTTACTGGCCGTCACTGTTTAAGGATGCTCACGAGTTTTGTAAAGCGTGTGATAGATGCCAACACACTGGGAACATTTCCAGATGACACGAAATGCCATTGCAAAACATTTTGGAGATTGAGCTCTTTGACGTATGTGGCATTGACTTCATGGGATCGTTCCCATATTCTTTTGGATACTTGTATATTTTACTTGCTGTGGACTACGTATCTAAGTGAGTTAAAGAGATTGCCATACCGAGGAATAACTCTAAAATTATGCTCAAGTTACTTCACAAGAACATTTTTACCCGATTTAGAGAACCGAGAGACATCATCAGTGACGAGGGCACTCATTTTGATAACAAGATTATTGCCAAGGCATTACAAAAATATGAAGTACGACATAAAATTGCCACGACATATCACCCACTAACTAATGGACAAGATGAAGTATCCAATTGGGAGATTAAGCAAATCCTACAGAAGGTGGTGAATCTTAGAAGGAAGGATTGGTCCCTGAAGTTGGACGAAGCGTTCTGAGCTTATCAGAAAACATTTGAAAACCTTTGGGAATGTCACCTTTCAAGATGGTATATGGGAAAGCATGCCACATACCTTTAGACTTAGAGCATAAGGCATATTGTCTTATCAAGAAGCTGAACTTCGACGCATAACTAGCTGGGGAGCAAAGATTACTCAATCTGAACGAAATAGACGAGTTTTGAGCATAAGCATATGAAAATGCTAAGATTTACAAAGAAAAAACCAAGAAGTGACATGATCGAATGCTTTTTCCAGGGCATTTTCATATTGGCCAGCAGGTGCTCTTTTTTAACTCGAGGTTGAAGCTCTTTCTTGGAAAACTGAATTCATGATGGTCCAGACCTTTTGAAGTACACAGTATCTACCCTCATGGTGCTGTTGATCTCAAGGATATGGATGATGGTTCTATTTTTAAAGTTAATGGACAGCGTCTAAAGGCTTATCAAGGAGCTACGCCCTTGCGTGACAAATCAACACTCTTCTTACACGATGTCGAATTCGACTAAGCATCTTTAAGATGCCATTACATTTTGGATTTACTCCTGTGTATAAATAAATGTTTATTTTTTACTGTTATATTCAATTTCTTTTTGGTTGATTATTTTATTTTGTTTTGTAAATTTAGGGTCCACGTAGAAGGCACGTGATGACCATAAGGTTGAAGAAAAGAGAGTGGGCGACAACAAGACAAACTAGGAGGGAAAAGTTTTCACATTTTTACTTTTTGAATTTTTTAGTTTTTCTTTAGGGTTTGTTTTTATTATTTTTTTCTTTTTCCCTGACTAACACCTCATCCATAAGTTAAATAACCCTATATTTTACCTTTTCATCTTATTTTCATCCTTTTTATTCTCTCTCTTAGTCTTTACATTTTCTTTTTTTTTCTCTCATTAACACCGAACTCCATAGCCAAAAAGGTTCAAGCTTTTTCATATTTTTTTTGTTTTGTCAACTACACCATGGTGAGCTCACATCCCTCAAGCATGGCTCCATCATCTCAATCGTGTTTTGTTGATGAAGTGACGCAAGAAAGGTTCCAAAGCCTAAAAAACTATTGGGTTTTCTTTGAGTTAGACTTTATTTTCTCTGAAGATGAAAATGCAGACCTCGGTAGTGATATCATGGTACCAGTGGAAAAAATTTGTCAAGGATCCGGAGAATGTGAATGCCTCTTTGGTGATGTAATTTTATGCCAACTTAACTGACCCAAATTAACATATTGTAGTGGTTCGTGGTATTTCTATCCGTTTTACCTCTTCAACTATTAATCGTTGTTTTAACTTGCAGGATATTATTGATAGACACACCACTTTCGTAAAAGATACAAATAATGAGACTTACCATGGCATATTGGAAGACTTTTATTTTTCAAACACACAGTGGAATTACCAACAAGCCAGCTGAAGAATGGTGGATCATGAGAGGCTACAACCGAGGGCTAAGTTGTGGAATCATTTCATGAAGCACAAGCTTCTGCCTACTGCTCACAACACCACAGTCTCACTACAGAGGATGCTTCTGTTGCACTCTATTTTAGTAGGGTGTTCTATTGACACAGGCAAGATAACTGTGAAACAGGTCCATACTTGTTTGAAGTGACCTGCCAGTGCCTTGGTATTTTCAAACCTTATTATGGCTCTCTACCGTAAGAAGAAAGTGCGTGAGGAGCATTTTGATGAGATATTGACTGGCTATTTGGTATTACAAAGGCCAAGCTTCCTATGTTACTTAGATTCAAGAAAAGTAAGGGAAAAGAAAAAGAGGAGAACACTTCCCGCGATGAAACAAACAAAGATACCAGGACAAAACTAGATAACCTAGAGGAGTTACTAGGAGAGCCCAAGAGCACGTAGAATAGCTGACCAACAATATGATGACCTTCTTTGGTTATGTAAAGCGTCGAGATGAGTTTGTCGTGAATGTTTTCATGGAGATTCTCCCGCACGTTAATCTTGAAATCCCAGTCTTCCTTGCTACGTTTTTGCAACCATCTGAAAATGTCAAGGCATCAGAAGATGCTCATCAGCCTGCTGATGAGGAGGAACTAGCCGATCATGATCCATTTCACTTTATGCCACCAACTGAATGTCAAATAGCCGAGCTCCAGCTCTCAAACGTACCAATACCCTTGCAACCCATAGAGCCACTTGAGGATGAATAATCAGAAATACCGTAGAAAATTCCTCTGCTACACCAGCATCAAATTATAAACACTTGAGGCCCACACAATTATGCAAGCACCTACGTCGCACAACCATCGCACTACTACCAGCATAAAATTAAAGTACCTTGCATTGCATTGCATGTAGTCTAGTTTTACCTTAGTTTTTATTTAGCATTGAGGAGAATGTTTCTCTCAA